GATGGGAGAAAGGTAGGGGGTAGGTGGGGGGAGGATAGGGGAGATAGGGAGAGGGAGAAAAGGTGGGATGTAGGATGGGAGGGGGGGAGGCGTGGGGGGAAGTGAAGGAGGTAGAGGAGGTATGGCGGTGGAGGAAGGGGTGGGTAAAGGGGTAGGGAAAGAGGGAGAGAAGGAGGGGAAGGGGAAATTGAAGATGGTAGGGGAAGGGAATGGTAGATAGTGGGGGGGAAGGGGGGAAGGGCAGGGAGGGAAGGGGAAATTGAAGATGGCGTAGGGGAAGGGGAATATGGTAGGGATAGGTGGGGGGAAGGGGGGGAAGGGTAGGGTGAAGTTGTGGGGGGGGTGGTAGGGTGAGAGAAAGGGGTGCTGGTCAGGGAAGAGGGGAGCTGGGGGGATAGTGATGTGGGTAGGAAGAAGAGGTAGGAAGATGGGGAGGGGGAGGGGGAGGGGATGGGGAGGTGGAAGGGAGGTGGATGAGGGGAGATAGTGGAGGTAAAGTCGATCCACACGTCAAGTATCCACAAAAATCAATTATTATCCGCACATAAAAAAAAACTGGTTATATCACTAATTCCATACAATTTATTTTCCAAGTCTAATCAAATATTTATAAGTAAAATTCCACTGAAGTTTTAAGATGATTTAATTTATTGTTTATTAATACATTTCTCTACTTATATTACTTAAGGCAATTTATGGACTCATTATTAAACTAGTGTATGTATGTCTGTATGTATGTATGTATGTATGTATGTATGTATGTATGTATGTATGTATGTATGTATGTATGTCTGTATGTATGTATGTCCACCTGCCCTGGTAGTGGACTGGGCCATAAGTCATGAGGCCAGCGGGTGAAAGCTTTTAGGTACAGTGTCTTGGGAACGGTTTCTTGTGAGGCCATCGTCGCCAAAAGCCTCGTAGGGACAGACAGTGATATACACACACGTCAATAATCTAGAGAGAAGGCTGTTGTTTATGACCCCGGTGTTAGAAGAGGTTGTTATTACGAGCTCGAACAGACAGGCAGACAGACAGAGAGACAGACAGAAAGAGAGAGGAGGGGGGGGGGTAGAGGGGTAGAGTGAGAGAGAGCATCCCTAATCTCTCTCTCACACACACGATTATCTCAGCAGTAATCCTACAGGTATGAGTGATGCTGCAGGGAGGCGTTTACGCTGTTTACCTGAGGCTTAGTATTGAACCCTTTACCGAGAGCCAATAGAAGGCGAGGGAAGATATATTTATTGCCCATACATTTACATTAACACAGGTATCCAGTGACTCTCTCGGGGAACATAAATGCAGGTACAGGTATAGTTATTAATCTACAGGTAAAGATATAGTTATTAATCTACAGGTACAGTTATTAATTTACAGGTACAGGTAAAGATATTAATCTACAGGAAAAGTTATTAATCTACAGGTAAAGGTATAGTTATTAATCTACAGGTAAAGGTATAGTTATTAATCTACAGGTACAGGTATAGTTATTAATCTACAGGTAAAGATATAGTTATTAATCCACAGATACAGGTAAAGATATTAATCTGCAGGTAAAGCTATTAATCTACAGGTACAGGTCTAGTTATTAATCTACAGGTACAGGTATAGATATTAATCTACAGGAAAAGTTATTAATCTACAGGTAAAGGTATAGTTATTAATCTACAGGTATAGCTATTACTCTATAGGTAAAGGTATAGTTATTAATCTACAGGTACAGGTAAAGTTATTAATCTACAGGTACAGGTAAAGTTATTAATCTACAGGTACAGGTATAGTTATTAATCTACAGGTAAAGGTATAGTTATTAATCTACAGGTAAAGGTATAGTTATTAATCTACAGGTAAAGGTATAGTTATTAATCTACAGGTAAAGGTATAGTTATTAATCTTCAGGTAAAGGTATAGTTATTAATCTACAGGTAAAGGTATAGTTATTAATCTACAGGTACAGGTAAAGTTATTAATCTACAGGTAAAGGTATAGTTATTAATCTACAGGTACAGTAACAGGTATAAAAGTAGAGTTCCAGTAACTTCCTGAATATTAACTGTATTATGAGAGCCAGTTAATGTGTTTGACAATAATAGAGGCGGAACAGTCAGGTGTGAGTCAAACGCAAGACTTTCGACAAGTTTTATATTTTTATCTATTTTAAATGATTTTTTTTACAGCATTTTGATAAATATATTTTTTTTACAACTTTTGAACTTCTTTTTACGGGCGAAAAGTTGGTTGTTTCGAAAGGCGTCAGCAGCTCTAGATGCGTTGACTTACTGACTTACTCACTCATTCACTGACTCACTGAGTTAATTCAACGTGCAGAATAAACTCGTAGTCTGGATGAGTAAGAATTAAATCCCATCCTTCCCGTTCTGGATAGTGTGGATACAACACAGTATATTAGGCCTTAAGCACACGAGGAGGCAGTCGACCTGACACTATACTCGCCCACCTTCACTTCCCCAACTGGATCGAACCAGTGATCCCTAGGTAAGGAGATGAGCGCTGTATCCACTCGGCCACGGCTCACCTGGACTCTTATATAATAGTGCCGCCAATCTTAAACCCTGGATGCCACATTACACCCTAAGTGACACACTACACCTTGTGTGACACACCACACCACAACTTGAGTAACACACTACACTCTAGGTGACACACCACACCCTAGGTGACACACTACACCCTAGGTGACACACTACACCCTAGGTAGCACACCTCACCCTAGGTGACACACTACACCCTGGGTGACACACCACACGTGGGCTTTACACCACACCCTGGGTGATACACCACACCCTGGGTGTCACACCACACCCTGAGTGACACACCAAACCTTGGGTGGCACACCACACGTGGGCTTTACGCCACACCCTGGGTGGCACACCACACTTGGGCTTTACACCACACCCTGGGTGATACACCACACCCTACATGACACCTCACACCCTGGATGACACACCACGCCTGGGCTTTACACTACACCCTGGATGACACGCCACACCCTGGGTGATACACCACACCCTGCATGACACCTCACACCCTGGATGACACACCACACCTGGGCTTTACACTACACCCTGGATGACACGCCACACCCTGGGTGACACACCTCAGGCATCAGTAAAATCCTTCACTCCAGCACACCTCACCTGCTCGGATCTTTGATGTTGTTTGGTAAAGCGCCTTAAGGCTGCTCTCCTGGTGCATTATGGGTATTGTGGTGCAGGTAAACATTGCTGAGTGGCGAGAGGACTGGTGAGCGTGTGGTGGTGTGGTGAGCGTGTGGTGGTGTGGTGTTGTGGTGAGCGTGTGGTGGTGTGGTGTTGTGGTGAGCGTGTGGTGGTGTGGTGTTGTGGTGAGCGTGTGGTGGTGTGGTGTTGTGGTGAGCGTGTGGCGGTGTGGTGTTGTGGTGAGCGTGTGGTGGTGTGGTGAGTGTGATGATGTGGTGAGTGTGGTGTTGTAGTGAGTGTGGTGTTGTAGTGAGTGTGGTGTTGTGTGGGAGATTATTCACCACATATATAAAACCTGTCCACACACATTACTATAAGTGAAGTTATTGTTCTATATATGTGACTTCTGATCTATATACATGTGATTTGGGGTTTTTATATACTGCATGTGACTTTTTTGGGGGGGTCTTTATACAAGTGGTCTTTGGTCTTTTACATAAGTGGTCTTTGGTCTTCATCTCCTCGATAGGTCTTGGGGCCTGAGGTAGCCGCTCCAGCTTTTGGTAATTCACAGACGAATTTGGACAAGGTTGGTGAGCCTGTCAGCCCTGATTTATGAAGGCTGTCTGTGGCCAAGTGCTGGAGGGAGGGAGAGAGAGTAAAGAAGGGTGAAGGAAGGGAGAGAAGGAGGAAAGGGAGGGAAGAAAGAGAAAGGAAAATGGAAAGAAACAGTTTTGGAAGGAGGGAGGGAGGGAGGGAGGGAGGGTAAAATGCATGAAGGAGAGAAGGTGTTGAGGAAGAGGGAGGTGTAAAGAGAGAGGGAGAGAGAAAGAAAGGGTTAGGGCGAGGGGGAGGGAGGGAGGGAGGGGAAAGGAGGGAGGTATGGAGAGAAGGAGTAAGGGAAGAATCGAAAGAAGGAGAAAGGGAAAGAGGAAAGAAGGAAGAGAAGGATTTAGTGAAGGGGTGGGAGGGGGAGGAGGGAGAGATAGAGGGAGGCAAGTGATTTATTAAGCTTCATGTCATAGGCAGATGGAGAATTCTCTTTTGTAGAGAGAGAGAGAGAGAGAGAGAGAGAGAGAGAGAGAGAGAGAGAGAGAGAGAGAGAGAGCCTGACAAAACATTTTTACCTTGGCATATGTCGCTGTACAAGTCGAGGCTGAATTTCCACCCCTAAAGGTAGATCAACAACACCTACACAACATTGTCGTCAACATTATTGGGAAGAAAGGTGAAATAGTCACGTAGTTTTCACCAGTTAGTTTAGTTTTCATATTTCTGATGGCGACAATGTTACCAACATTAGTGTTACAAACATTTCGATGTAATTTTCACAACATTGTTGATAACAAAGTTGCCAACACATGTCGCCGACAATATTGCTTTGGTGGGGAACTACCTTTAGTCTCTGTTTAATATCGTGTGAGAAGTCAAGTCCTTTTACACTACCGGTGTCATAGGTTTGTCAAGACGGTGTACTGGTGTCGTGAAGCAGGTGTGGCAAAGTACTGACAGACTCAAGAAGGGTATGTGTCTTGGTGGTGTCTGACTGTCTCTCTTTCTATCTGCCTGACTGCCTGTCTTTCTTTACCTGTCTGTGTATATAGCTATTTGTGTGTGTGAGGAGATCCAAGGGTGTCCGATAACACCTGACATAGGTAGAACAGCTGTCATAACATCTGCTATAGGTAGAACAGCTGTCATAACATCTGCTATAGGTAGAACAGCTGTCATAACATCTGATACAAGTAGAAGAAAACATTAAAATATCATCAAATAACAGGAAGCGTCAGAGGAAGAAAGTCATCTGGTGATCTACTGATGACGACACTTGGCACCCCTAACAAGATTGTTGGCACCCCTGACCAGATTGTTGGCACCCCTAACAAGATTGTTGGCACCCCTGACCAGATTGTTGGTACCCCTAACAAGATTGTTGGCACCCCTGACCAGATTGTTGGCACCCCTGACCAGATAGTTGGCACCCTTGACCAGATTGTTGGCACCCCTGACCAGATTGTTGGCACCCCTGACCAGATAGTTGGCACCCTTGACCAGATTGTTGGCACCCCTGACCAGATTGTTGTTCCTGACTCAGACGTTACAACCCCTGACCAGATAGTCGTCCTGACCAGACTAAGGCACCCCTGACCAGATTGTTGGCACCCCTGACCAGATTGTTGGCACCCCTAACAAGATTGTTGGCACCCCTGACCAGATTGTTGGCACCCCTGACCAGATAGTTGGCACCCTTGACCAGATTATTGGCACGCTTCTAAGCCCTTAACTCATGAGACATAAAGGCAAGCATGAACTTAGCATGCTTCCCTGTTGGGAGCTGTAAACGCTTCTGCGCTTCACCTTACACAAGGGGTGCTCTAAAAAGAAACCCATGATCAGATTATTGGCAATTCTGGACCAGATTGTAGCACCAGCTACCAAGATTGTTGGCACCCCTGACCAGATTGTTGGCACCCATGATCAGATTGTTGGCACCCCTGACCAGATTGTTAGCACCCCTGACCAGATTGTTGGCACCCCTGACCAGACTGTTGTCAAGCCTGACCAGACTGTTTTCAACCCTGACCACCACATTTCTTGACCTAAAACCTGCATTTGATATTGACAATTTATATTGTATGAACTATCCAAAATGGATATAGGAGGTCGGCTGTTACACTGTTGTTACCTCACTAACAGAAGGGCTGCTGCACTGTTTCATAACTTTGACACAAATAGAGATGTATCAAGTAAAACATGTATATGGAGCAAGTAACAAGATCACAAGATTACAAGATGTTGTAACCGCTAGACTAAGGTCAGGATATAAGTGTCTCTGGCAGTATATCCCTCAGGCAGATGTAAACAAAACTAAATGTAAAGTGTGTGGCCAGACATATAGCCACACACTCCAGCCTTCCACATGCCAACCTCCCTCATGACAACCTCCCTCATGACAGCCTCACTCATGACAGTCTCACTCATGACAGCCTTCCGCATGACAACCTCACTCATGATAACCTTCCACATGACAGCCTCACTCATGACAGCCTTCCGCATGACAACCTCCCTCATGACAGCCTCACTCATGACAGCCTTCCGCATGACAACCTCACTCATGATAACCTTCCACATGACAGCCTCACTCATGACGGCCTCATAAATCCGGCACATAAAATCCCTCTTGGTCTGGGTTAGGTTATTGCACCGAGTATTGTGGTGGTACCGAGAGGGGGAAATATCCACTCTTATGCGGGCATGACGTATGATGATGGTTGTTGAATACCATGGCGTATGCTGGTATATAACCTATACCACCTGTCTTAAGTTAACCTAACCTAATCAACATAAACAAACTAAAATAAAACCTAACCTAACTTAACCTTGTAGTTGTGTGGGTATAAGGCGACGTCATTATGAACGAGCACCAATCACAGCACGCGTGGCCCTCAAACGCGTGTATTTTGCACAACTTATGGGTGGGTTAGCCCCGCATCAGTAGGGGAAGTGGACGTCACGATATTTACAGCTGTAGTGAGACAGAGTTGGTCTGTGTGTGCGCTTCTCCCAGCCAGGAAATATTGCACACTGAGGATCTCATCAACATAGGTGAGAGACATACAGCTGCTTCTCTACATTGATCTGTTGCAGGATTATTGCACGAGTGTTGCCACCTGGGTGTTCCTCCTTTTTCTTACCTCCCCAGATATTGAAACTTGTTGACTAATGTTGTGTCAGTTGTTTCTGTTGCTGACACTTCTGGCTGACGGACATGTACACTTGTTGCTGACGTTAACTTAACATAACCTACCCCCTCCCCAGATGAAATAAATTAGAAGGGTGACTAATATTCAGGCGATCAAAAAGTGTCTCGGCTGCGGTAACCAGAGGCAGGTAATGCAACATACCCATTGATATTCCATAATTCACAAAAAATCCAGAATTTAACGCCCATAACAAAATAATTTCCAAATGATGAAACACTAGAACACACTTCGCTGGAATTTCGATAAAAGTATCCAAAAATGCTGCAATCAGAGTGGCAACCCATGCAATATGTAAATTCCCATACGATAAATTGTAAGGATAACAGAATTAAGTACCCAGCAGATGAATGGCGATGGAATATTTCGTTGGAAGTGTAGTATTTTTCTCCAATGCTGTAACCAGACAGACAGATGCTGGTCCCCGGGCAATCTGATTAATTGTTCTTGGACAATTAGGTAATGGTGTTGTGTGTTGGTCTCTGAGGCTGTGTGTTGGTCTCTGAGGCTGTGTGATGGTCTCTGAGGCTGTGTGATGGTCTCTGGCTGTGTGATGGTCTCTGAGGCTGTGTGATGGTCTCTGGGGCTGTGTGATGGTCTCTGAGGCTGTGTGTTGGTCTCTGAGGCTGTGTGATGGTCTCTGAGGCTGTGTGATGGTCTCTGGGGCTGTGTGTTGGTCTCTGGGGCTGTGTGATGGTCTCTGAGGCTGTGTGATGGTCTCTGGGGCTGTGTGATGGTTCTCTGGGGCTGTGTGATGGTCTCTGGGGCTGTGTGATGGTCTCTGGGGCTGTGTGATGGTCTCCTGGGCTGTGTGATGGTCTCTGAGGCTGTGTGTTGGTCTCTGGGGCTGTGTGTTGGTCTCTGGGGCTGTGTGATGGTCTCTGAGGTTGTGTGATGGTCTGAGGCTGTGTGATGGTCTCTGGGGCTGTGTGATGGTCTCTGAGGCTGTGTGATGGTCTCTGGGGCTGTGTGATGATCTCTGGGGCTGTGTGATGGTCTCTGAGGCTGTGTGATGGTCTCTGAGGCTGTGTGATGGTCTCTGAGGCTGTGTGATGGTCTCGAGGCTGTGTGATGGTCTCTGAGGCTGTGTGATGGTCTCTGGGGCTGTGTGTTGGTCTCTGAGGCTGTGTGTTGGTCTCTGAGGCTGTGTGATGGTCTCTGGGGCTGTGTGGTCTCTGGGGCTGTGTGATGGTCTCTGAGGCTGTGTGTTGGTCTCTGAGGCTGTGTGATGGTCTCTGGGGCTGTGTGATGGTCTCTGAGGCTGTGTGTTGGTCTCTGGGGCTGTGATGGTCTCTGAGGCTGTGTGATGTCTGGGGCTGTGTGATGGTCTCTGGGGCTGTGTGTTGGTCTCTGGGAATGTGTGATGGTCTCTGGGGCTGTGTGATGGTCTCTGAGGCAGTGTGATGGTCTCTGGGGCTGTGTGATGGTCTCTGGGGCTGTGTGATGGTCTCTGGGGCTGTGTGTTAGTCTCTGGGGCTGTGTGATGGTCTCTGGGGCGTGTGATGGTCTCTGGGGCTGTGTGATGGTCTCTGGGGCTGTGTGTTGGTCTCTGAGGCTGTGTGATGGTCTCTGGGGCTGTGATGGTCTCTGGGGCTGTGTGATGGTCTCTGGGGCTGTGTTGGTCTCTGGGGCTGTGTAGTGGTCTCTGAGGCTGTGTGATGGTCTCTGGGGCTGTGTGATGGTCTCTGGGGCTGTGTGATGGTCTCTGGGGCTGTGTGATGGTCTCTGGGGCTGTGTGATGGTCTCTGAGGCTGTGGTCTCTGAGGCTGTGTGTTGGTCTCTGAGGCTGTGTGATGGTCTCTGGGGCTGTGTGATGGTCTCTGGGGCTGTGTGATGGTCTCTGGGGCTGTGTGATGGTCTCTGGGGCTGTGTGATGGTCTCTGGGGCTGTGTGTTGGTCTCTGGGGCTGTGATGGTCTCTGGGGCTGTGTGATGGTCTCTGGGCTGTGTGGGGCTGTGTGTTGTACTCTGGGGCTGTGTGTTGGTCTCTGAGGCTGTGTGATGGTCTCTGGGGCTGTGTGTGGTCTCTGGGGCTGTGTGATGGTCTCTGGAGCTGTGTGTTGGTCTCTGAGGCTGTGTGATGGTCTCTGGGGCTGTGTGATGGTCTCTGGGGCTGTGTGATGGTCTCTGGGGCTGTGTGATGGTCACTGGGGCTGTGTGTTGGTCTCTGAGGCTGTGTGATGGTCTCTGGGGCTGTGTGATGGTCTCTGGGGCTGTGTGATGGTCTCTGGGGCTGTGTGATGGTCTCTGGGGCTGTGTGATGGTCTCTGGGGCTGTGTGATGGTCTCTGGGGCTGTGTGATGGTCTCTGAGGCTGTGTGTTGGTCTCTGGGGCTGTGTGATGGTCTCTGGGGCTGTGTGTTGGTCTCTGGGGCTGTGTGATGGTCTCCTGGGCTGTGTGTTGGTCTCTGAGGCTGTGTGATGGTCTCTGGGGCTGTGTGATGGTCTCTGGGGCTGTGTGTTGGTCTCTGAGGCTGTGTGATGGTCTCTGGGGCTGTGTGATGGTCTCTGGGGTGTTTGGTCTCTGAGGCTGTGTGATGTCTCGCGTGTGATGGTCTCTGGGGCTGTGTGATGGTCTCTGGGGCTGTGTGATGGTCTCTGGGGCTGTGTGTTGGTCTCTGGGGCTGTGGGATGGTCTCTGGGGCTGTGTGATGGTCTCTGGGGCTGTGTGATGGTCTCTGGGGCTGTGATGGTCTCTGAGGCTGTGTGATGGTCTCTCTGGGGCTGTGTGATGGTCTCTGAGGGCTGTGTGTTGGTCTCTGGGGCTGTGTGATGGTCTCTGGGGCTGTGTGTTGGTCTCTGGGGCTGTGTGATGGTCTCTGGGGCTGTGTGTTGGTCTCTGGGCTGTGTGATGGTCTCTGGGGCTGTGTGATGGTCTCAGGGGCGTGTGGGTGGTCTCTGGGGCTGTGTGATGGTCTCTGGGGCTGTGTGATGGTCTCTGGGGGTGGCTCGCTGTGTGTGGTCCTGTGATGGTCTCTGGGGCTGTGTGTTGGTCTCTGAGGCTGTGTGATGGTCTCTGGGGCTGTGTGATGGTCTCTGGGGCTGTGTGATGGTCTCTGGGGCTGTGTGATGGTCTCTGGGGCTGTGTGATGGTCTCTGGGGCTGTGTGTTGGTCTCTGGGGCTGTGTGATGGTCTCTGGGGCTGTGTGATGGTCTCTGGGGCTGTGTGATGGTCTCTGGGGCTGTGTGATGGTCTCTGGGGCTGTGTGATGGTCTCTGGGGCTGTGTGATGGTCTCTGGGGCTGTGTGATGGTCTCTGGGGCTGTGGTGGTCTCTGGGGCTGTGTGATGGTCTCTGGGGCTGTGTGATGGTCTCTGGGGCTGTGTGATGGTGTAGGGCTGTGTGGTGGTCTGAGGCTGTGTGATGGTCTCTGGGGCTGTGTGTTGGTCTCTGAGGCTGTGTGATGGTCTCTGGGGCTGTGTGATGGTCTCTGAGGCTGTGTGTTGGTCTCTGGGGCTGTGTGTTGGTCTCTGAGGCTGTGTGATGGTCTCTGGGGCTGTTGATGGTCTCTGGGGCTGTGTGATGGTCTCTGGGCTGTGTGATGGTCTCTGGGGCTGTGTGATGGTCTCTGGGGCTGTGTGATGGTCTCTGGGCTGTGATGGTCTCCTGAGGCTGGTGTTGTCTCTGAGGCTGTGTTGGTCTCTAGGCTGTGTGATGGTCTCTGAGGCTGTGTTGGTCTCTGAGGCTGTGTGATGGTCCCTGGGCTGGCTCGGGGCTGTTGGTGGTCTCTGGGCTGTGTGTTGGTCTCTGGGGCTGTGTGATGGTCTCTGGGGCTGTGATGGTCTCTGGGGCTGTGTGATGGTCTCTGGGGCTGTGATGGTCTCTGGGCTGTGTGATGGT